CGCGTGGTCAATGTGGCCAGTGTGATGGGCCGCGTCTCCTGTTTCGGCGGCGGGTACTGCATCTCCAAGTTCGGCGTGGAGGCTTTCTCCGACAGCCTCAGGTGAGTCTGGCGTGGCACCATCCTGATTTCCCAATTTGTTTTTCTGGACTTTGCCTGGCACAGCTCTCAGTCCCCATCCTCACGGCACCACAGCCGAGCACAGGTCGATGGGTTGTAGCTGCTGCTGAAGCGTGAACGGCGCCTGTCCTGGCACGGAGCCTCCCTATCAGATCCTGCCCCCATCTGGGATCGGTTGGGACACAGCCCTGCAGTCCTGACCTTCATTTGTCCCCAGACCAGTCCATCCAGATGTGGCACATGTTTGCTCACACGCTGCCTCAGCCACGTGCTCAGACACGGGGTCCAGCTGGATGGTCTTACTCTGCTTCTCTGGCACGAGGCTGTGGTAAATCTCAGGGGAGAGGCAGCCATGGACACATTCCAGTGCTGATCCCGTGTCCCATGGCACTTGGTCCCTTCCAGGCTTGAGATGCGCAACTTCGGGGTGAAGGTCAGTGTGATCGAGCCAGGCTACTTCAACACGATGATCACCAACGTCGAGAACCTGGAGAGAAATTTTCTTTCTACCTGGGAGAAGCTTCCAGAGGAAATCCAAACAAGTTATGGGGAGAGTTACTTGAAGCAGTGTAAGTACCTCTCCCAAAGGCTGAGTGATGCCGTTTCTCTCCGGACATGAGGCACATCCCCGGAATCAGGGGGATCCCATGGGGGTCCCACCAGCCCGACACCCCACCAAGCTGCTTGGCTTCAGGGTCTCAGTGGCATTTTCTGCCTCTGCAGTTGTGGCATCACTGAAGATAATGCAGAAGAGCTACAACTCCGACCTGTCTCTGGTCACGAACTGCATGGAGCACGCACTGACCAGCCTCCACCCCCGTGCCCGCTACTCGGCCGGCTGGGACGCCAAGCTGCTCTACATCCCCCTCAGCTACCTGCCCTCGGCCCTCACAGACGCCGTGTTCACCCTGTTCTACCCCAAATCCACGGGGAAAGCCTAAGGCAGGGATGCCAGGCTGAGGCACTGCGATGCCTGAGGCAGGGCCTGGTGACGTGCGGTGGGATCTGGCGGCGCAAGGTGAGATCCGACATCGCCCGAGGCCATGCTGAGGTCCCCGAGTTTGTTCCCTGCCCACAGGCAGCTTTGTCCTGAATAAAGACTCCCCCTTACTCTCCTGGCACAGTGGTGGCACTGAGGCTGTGTCATGGGGGCTCCTGGGGGTTCTGGCTGTTCCCCCAAGTGCTGCTCCACACAGGGTCTGGGCCCCACTGGGGGTGCCACTGCTGGACTTGTCCAAAGTGGCACTCCAGGGACTCACACACACAAATCAAACCCACACTTGTTCTAACCTGGGCAGATTTGCCTCTGGGCACAGGGCTGGGAAGCCTCTAATAGCATTTTCCTCCTCCACTTCCTCCTCCTCCTCCTGCAGAGCCGCTCAGTGGGGGCTGCCCCACCCCACTGCCATGGCTGGGGACACCGTCCCCCACCAAAGCCGGGTGAGAGGGAAGGGTCCAAGGTTGCTGCTGGAGGGTGGAACCAAACCCAGCTCTGGGGGGCAGCGCATTCACCTGCTCAGGGCACAGCAGAGCCCCAGGGACAGGGAGTGGTGCAAGGCAGAGCTGGGGATTGCAAACCAGGAAGGCAAACTTCGCCCCAGGTTCTGCCGCAATCCCGGCTCTGTATAAATGGCCCGAGTGCCGCCGGCCCGGGCTGTCACTGAGCGGTGCCGCTGCCGAGGATGTGGCTGTACGTGGCGGCGGGGCTGGCGGGGCTGCTCCTGCTGCGGCGCTGGCACCGGGAGCGGCAGACGGTGCCGGGGCTCTGGGAGAAGCACGTGCTGATCACGGGCTGCGACAGCGGCTTCGGGAACCTGCTGGCGCGGCAGCTGGACGGGCGCGGGCTGCGGGTCCTGGCCGCCTGCCTGACCGAGGCCGGGGCGGCGCGGCTGCGGGCGGCCACCTCGCCGCGGCTCCAGACCGTCCTGCTGGACGTCACCTCCAGCCAGAGCATCGCCGCCGCCAGCGCCTGGGTGCGGGAGCGCGTGGGTGACCGAGGTAGGCTGGGGCAGACACCCCGTTGTCCCCCCCGTTGTCACCCCAGCAGCCCCCTCCCGCCTGCTCTGGCACAGCCGGGGCTGGGGCCGTGGAGCAGCCCCGGCTCATCCCGTCCCCTCTGCAGGGCTCTGGGGGCTGGTGAACAACGCAGGGATCGCCATCCCCACCGCCCCCAACGAGTGGCTGACCAAGGATGACTTCGTGAAGGTGCTGGATGTGAACCTGGTGGGGCTGGTGGAGGTGACCCTGAGCCTCCTGCCGCTGGTGCGGCGGGCGCGGGGCCGCGTGGTCAATGTGGCCAGTGTGATGGGCCGCGTCTCCTGTTTCGG